GGGCCGGCAGTTTGATACCCCTGCTTTAGAAGATTTCACAGAATTTGAATAGCTGATTGCATTCCTCTAGGAAAGAACATATGGCAGCTTTGGGTGAAAATGGCAAGAGAATTACAACAGGGATTATACATTGTATTAAATAACGGTGTGATCTGTTTGGTTTGATCTAGCACAGCATACGACAATGATTTGTACATTCAGATTGAATGCTAATTTCCACTTTAATAGTTATCAATCAGACTTACATATGATGCATACGTTTTTTCTTGAATAAACCAAAACTACCTAGATTCCTACCACGTGCTAAGCATAAATCACGGTTTACAAGTCATAATATATAAATTCACGCAACATGTTAAACCAAAAGAAAACAAATCATTTTATTCAGCAGCTGAGTACAATGTGCACACCCAACTCTTATTTCCAAACTCCAGTGTGCTCTGTTTTTTTCTCCTCTCTGTTTGAATCTATGCAACTCATCCTAAAAACAGCTATTACACAATTGTGGGATGCTCGGGTGCTATGTGTTTTTATTTGGTATACTGTATCTGTTTTATCTATTTTTATTGTAAGCCACCTAGGAGTCACAAGTGTGAGATGGGCAGCTATATAAATCGATTAAATAATAATCACTAATACTTTTTTTTTTTTTGCAGCTGAAGCTAAGGCTGCAGAAGCTGCTGCCAGTGCATATTACAATCCAGGGAACCCTCATAATGTCTACATGCCCATGGTAACTTTCAAAAATATATTTAGAGCAAGTGTTAAGCAAGTGTGTCTCTTGGTTGCAGCTCAAAACTTCCACATGTCCTTTCTCTGAAAGCACCTAACACACGCTGCTTTCTCTTTTCTTCTTTTTTCCTTTGGCCTTTAACCTTGGCGAGTTATTGTTTTGGGGGTCTTTTTGCATTTTCCCATCCCAATGATAGCTTCCTCTTCTCTGTAAATTTTTGTAGGTATTTGCCTGTGTATCCTCCACTTCTTCTTTTCTGTGTTCCAGCCTTCTCCACTTCCTTCTTTCTGATTTCTCAACTGCAGCTTCATTGGCTTTCTGCCCAATCTACTGTCTATATTTGTTGGGGAGGACATAAATATATGTATGCTCAGATCTTTAAAGAAAGGGCTGGGGAATGAGGGAGATACAGGTGGTGATTAGGTGTATATAGTTTTAACAGGTGGGTTGCACTACCTGAGGATGTTTTACAGAAATTGTATTTTTTCCATAATTATCTACTTAATTTTAATAAATAAGATTATATTGCAGAGACTTTATAAGGGGAATTGATTTGCTTTTGAAAAAAAATCCAGTTCCACAATGCTTTTGCCTTTGCTGTACCTCTCGTGGACATGAACAGCCCTTAACACAAACTTGATTGACAGTGTTTGTGGGTGCCATCTTTTCTTTCATCATGGAACTCACAGCAACTTTGAAAGGATTCCCAAGGGCTCTTCTACCCAGGCACTAACTCAGCCTAAATTTCTTAGTTCAGCAAGTTGGCTGCAATGTATGCCCTCAGACCATATCCAAGGGCCCTTTATCATGTACTGTATGTCCCTATTGCCCTAAATAATCTTCCAACCAGTACGTAATAGATTCTTACATCTATATATACAAGAACACTTAGCACCTGAGCCTAATTATTAGGGAGCCATATTTATTTATTTAACACTGCCCGACTCCAGTAAGGCAGGAATAGATGACATAAAAGGTGCCTCAAATATGACAAAAAACAAGCTTTTTAAAATTAAATGATCGCACAATAGAAATCCCCCTGTCAATTCAAGAACATGGTTCATGCAGTATAAGTCTAATTTATATATTGTTTTATATATAAAGCTTACAACAATGTTCTGCAGTTGAAATATGTGTAATAATAAACTGAAGTTGTTGTTGTTTTTTCCCCTCTCAAACATTTTAGGACCAGCCTCCTCCACCTCCTTACTTTCCTCCAGAGGACAAGAAAACCCAGTAGAGAAACATCATCACACATTGCATCTTTTATTGCCATATGGCTAAATATTGATTAGGGATATGACAGCGATAAGAGCCACCTTGTCTCCCCCCCCCCAGTACATGTATCTGTCATGGACAGAAATGATAGATATATGTGCCAGTAGGAAAGTGTTTCTAACATTTTTCTGGATTGGTAATGCACAGACACTTAATATTTCGTTCTCCTCTGTATGATATAATGAAGAATTCTTTTCCCCGTCCCACATTTTAATTGCCCCAGAGAACATTCTTTCTTGAAGAAAGACTACTTCAGCTGAAACTCATCAACAACTATTGAATTTAGTAGGTGTTGATATTTTAGGTGCTGCCCAGCTCATTCACCATGAAGCTTCAGAAGAAAATTATCTGTGATCTTTTGATTGGTTCTTCGTTGCATGAACCCTGCCATCCTATGATTAAGGAAGTTCACTGATCTTCTGACAAATTTAACGGCATGTATTAGACATTTGATTCTACTTGGACAATGGAATTTTCTGCCATTTCTTCTACAAGATGCATGTATGGTGGTACAAACGCTTCACACTACGGACAGTCTTGTCTATTCCTTTAATACCTTGGCTCTTTCAGTTTTACAGTGACAAAGTGGTGGCTGCGTAGTTTTAGCCAGGAAAGCATCTTTACCTCTATAGTTAACAGGGTAGTTGATTTGACCAAATGGCTGATCATCCTAGTAGTAGGTGATATGGTTTCTAAGAGAGAAAATAATCATATATAAGCTTATTTATGTATTTAATTTATTATTGCCTAGATATTATTTCTTTTATTTTGAGTGTATTGCAGCTTGAAGGAACAGATTTTTTTTTATTGTTTTCAGCCATCACTCACTGATGTGGTGAACATCAGATTATCTTTCAGTTCAATAACTCTTTGGTTTAACTTGACAAATTCAAAGGCTTTGCTAAAAAAAAAAGGTCAAAGGATTTGTGCATTTCCTCTTTCCTCACGTACAATTCTTATCAGTAAAATGTCACACACAAATCACAATAAGGCAAAATTCTTTTCTGGAAACAAAATGGGGGGGGGGAAGGTAAGAGGTAGGATTTTAGGAATTTTCTATGGCAGTAGGTCTTTAGATGTATGGCTTCCAAACATTTTGGAAACTTATCAGAACACTTGAAATCCTAGTGCTGGCATCCCCTCATCTGTCTGAATCAATGAAAATCTACTCTTAACTCTTTAACATTGAATTTGATTTAATGCTGAAATGAAATAGATTCAAAACTATTTAAAACTACTGTCCTTGATAATAAAAAAATATTTGAAATTGCCATTTCCAGTACTGCCAATATATATATATATATATATAAAAATCTTGGACCTTCTTTTGCTGTTGGCTTCAGTCCAAGTTCTATGTAGTGCTTGAAGCAGCACCGGTTATTTCCAACTTTGGGCGCATCTCTGCTCTCTCCCGCTCCACAGTAGATACAAATTGCTTCCTGGCTTTTGCTCCAGATTGTCCTGGGGCAAAACACAGTATCTGGTAAAGAGAGCACAGCCGAATAGGATGATCTTAGTGCATGCTTCTGCAATGCTTAGTTTTTGCTTCCCTGACTTAGCACAAATATTTCGCTATTATTAAAATTTGTGAACAAGCAAACTTATTTATGACCCATTTGCATTACTCTGAACACTGCTACACGTCTGTAGATTTGAGAAACAGCCATCTCACTTCAGGTTGGAAGTACTGCAGCATAAACATTCAGATGCTTTTTCAGCAAAAGTGTTCCGGCACTCTTTCCTCTAGAAACTGAAACACCGTTTAACTGATAACTAGGTTTGCAGACTGACTATAGCCTACTTTAGGTTTCTTTAGTACGGTATGGTTTTTTCAAATGGTTTCTAGCTGACCTATGATATACTTAAAAAGCCATGCATTTTTTCCCCTAGATTTGCTATTTAAACGAAAGTGATGTAACAAAATTGTTATATTAAAAATCAGTATGTATTTTGGAGAAATTTTTGTTAATATGGATGTGAAATGGCTCTCTTGAATGTGAGGCTATCTTTTGATTTGCTGAGACTGTGAAATAAAATACATGACATCACATTGCTTTGGTTCAGTGGGTCAACATATTGAAAGAAGTGATTTATGATCTGTTTCAACACTTATGACTGTTGGCAGCATCCCCCTGGTTACTTGATCAAAATTCACTTGGCAACTGGCATGTATTTATGATACTTGCACTGTCCTGGGATCATGTGATCACCATTTGCAACCTTCCCAGCCAGCTTCTGACAAGTCAATGGAGGAAGCCAGATTTGCTTAACAACTGCACGATTCGCTTAGCGAAAGCAAAAAAAGGTTGTAAAATGGTGCAAAATTTAAATTTTAACAGCTTTGCTTTGCTTATCAACAGAAGTTTTGGGGCTCAATTGTGGTCGTAAGTTGAGGACTACCGGTAATATTTTACCTGTTCAGACCTGAATGAGACAGGTAGAATGTTTTGAATTGCTATCAGCCTTCTAGAGATTTCAAAGAGGCTGCCAGCTTAAAGCCCAGTCTTCCTTTTAAGGCTGTGTTTCCCAACCTCAGCAACTTTAAGATGAGTGAATTTCAATTCCTTGAATGTTTAGCAATGGCCATGCTGACTAGGAAATTCTGGGACTTTATTTTTAATCTTTATTTATCAAATTTAGACGCCACTCATCTCACAGTTCGAGGTGATTCTGAGTGGCTTATAAGAAAACATACCGAAGTAAAAACAATTATAAATAGTAAAAATAATTAAAATTACAGAAGATTAAAACAAGCTGAAAACTATGGGTTTAGACCGGAGAGGTGGTGTTGGCTTGTCTTCTAGTCAAAGTACCCATATTTTAAAGTTGCTGAGGCTGGAAAATACTGACCTTTGGTTATCCTCTCCACAAAGGAAGGGAACGTGTGCCTCTAAATGTTGCTGAATTATAGTTCTCAAGTTTCCCTTACTATTAGCCATTCTGGCTGGGAGGATTTGGAGAATCACAGGATCCCTACCCTTGTGTCTAGCAGACGTTCCATTATGTTCACAGTGACTAACTTTTGAATAGGCATAAATGCAATTATTTTACAGTAGGCTTTGTTTATAAATAGGCACACAATCAACTTACTCTCCACTTGCCTTGCTGCTGGTCACTTTCACAGCAATTATGTTGGTTCTTCCTAAAACATCACTGCAGGAGGAAAGGTGTGTTAGTTTTGGGTGGCAAAAAAATGTAGAGGAGCCTGATAGCACCTTTTCCAATGAACCCATTTTATTGAAAGGCGTAGGCCAGGGGTCTTCAAACTTGGCCCTTTTATGACTTGTGGACTTCAACTCCCAGAATTTCTCAGCCAGACATGCTGGCTGAGGAAATAATAATAATAATAATAATAATAATAATAATAATAATAATAATAATAATAATAATAATAATAATGATGATGTTGGAAGGGACCTTGGAGGTCATCTAGTCCAACCCCCTGCTCAAGCAGGAAACCCTATACCATTTCAGACAAATCAGTCTCTTCTTAAAAACTTCCAGTGTTGGAGCATTCACCACTTCTGGAGGCAGGTTGTTCCACTGGTTAATTGTTCTGTCAGGAAGTTTCTCCTTAGTTCTAGGTTGCTTCTCTCCTTGATTAGTTTCCATCCGTTGCTTCTTGTCCTGCCTTCAGGCGCCTTGGAAAATAGCTTGACTCCCTCTTCTTTGTGGCAGCCCCTGAGATATTGGAAGACTGCTATCATGTCCCCCCTCGTCCTTCTCTTCATTAAATTAGACATACCCAATTCCAGCAACCATTCCTTACATGCTTTGGCCTCCAGTCCCCTAATCATCTTTGTTGCTCTTCTCTGTACTCTTTCTAGAGTCTCAACATCTTTTTTACATCGTGGTGACCAAAACTGGATGCAGTATTCCAAGTGTGGCCTTACCAAGGCATTGTAAAGTGATATTAATACTTCACGTGATCTTGATCTCTCTGTTAATGCAGCCCAGCACTGTGTTGGCCTTCTTGGCAGCTGCAGCACACTGCTGGCTAATATTTAAGTGATTGTCCACTAGGACTCCGAGGTCCCTCTCACAGTTACTACTATTGAGCAAGGTCTGGGAGTTGACGTCCACAAATCATAAAAGGGCCAGGTTTGAAGACCCCTGGCCTACGCCTTTCATGAGATTGCAGTTCCCTTCTTTGGGAACCATGGGACCAACTTGGCACCTCCTAGGTCCGTGGTTGCAAACCTATGGCTCGCGTGCCACAGGTGGCACGCAGAGCCCTCTCTGTGGGCACACGCACCGTCGCCCCAGTCCTAGGCCTTCAGCTGGGTTTTGATAAAACCTTTTCGCTTTAGGCCTTCCACCGCCGTGTGCAAACAAAAAAAAAAGTTCAATCAATCAATCAATTTCAACTTCTCACGGGAAAAAAAAAGATCTTGCAAAGTTGGAATTGATTGATTGAACTTTTTAGTCCCACCCAGTCTGCTGTTACCACCGCAGCCACGCCCACCCAATGGGCCCTGCCCTCCCGGCACCCGACGATACATAAGTGGGTTTGGGCACTCGGTCTCTAAAAGGTTCGCCATCACTGTCCTAGGTACTGCTTTCATCCGTCTGATTTGCACAGTGACCATAGAGTGACCTCTGCATTTGCTTCAGAGAAAGGAAAGGGTTCCTGTTGATAATGCTCACAGAGGGGGCTGCGCACTGCCCATAAAGCACTTAAGCTGAAGCCGCGCATTGGCCAAACAACATTTCCATAGCATGGCTCTTTGATTTCATTTCCTGGTATGAGTCATGTGACATTTGCTGCAGTACACTGAAGGGTTGGTGGCCTATAAGCTTATGTAAGCACTAGTAAAGCCAAATTGTTCCTCCTGAGGCTGCTGATTGCCAACACCAATAACTCTTGTTACTGGTTCTGCCATCATGTAAATGGGATAAACAATGGCATACATACCCAAGGAGATGAGAAGTATCAGCAATACGCCCAGAAAGATAATGTCAAGATTGTGCAAGACTCTTACCTCAAGTTAATTGATCCATAATTAACTCAGTTTCGGGGGTTCACATAATAACTAAATAATTCCATAGCTTGCATTCATACAAGCTAGGCTGAAATATAGTGCAACTACAGATACTGAATTTGTATAACATTATAGGTGCACTTATGAGACACAAACTAGGCAACTACAGTATGTATTAACCTAGTTAATTGTGCAAACCAGGACAATTTTTGGAATCTGGCATCAGCTGAATGTTGAAAAGTGATGGCTTTGGTAGCAATGTTTTCATTGCTGGGACCTTTTGCAAAACGTGTATGGCTAAAAGAAACACATTCTCAATGCAAAGTAAAGAAATTTGCAGTTTACTTGGGGTATTTAGAGCCAAGTTTAGACAATTCCACAAGTTTTATTTACATACTCAGGCAACACGAACCTGTCTCCTCCCTACCAATAATCTCAGAGGGATTTTTATTGGTGTAGGGTTGCCTGTGTTCCTGCCTCATAGCATTTTGCCCAACCCTTTACAGTAAAACAAGTCAATAAAGATCTACAGCTGTCAACCTCTCCTGCTTAAGAGGGAAAGGCACTTGATGCAGAACCAAGGTGAGTTTTGTCTTTCCCTTTCTTTCTATCCTGCCTTCCTCTGTTACTAAGAGCTCAGACTTTAAGCAGGGAGATCGTCCCTAAAGGGCGGACGCAGTGAAAAGCCTGAAAGAGAGCAGAGCTTATGGACACAGGCCGCTTGGGTGAGGCAGCTAGAGAAGGGCGGGATGCGTTTCAGTTTGACAAGCAAAGAGAAGATTACTTAACCGAGATGGTCAGATTAAATCAGCATGTGCCATAGGTTTCCACAAAAATGCTAGTGCTTGAGGGGTGGGTGGGAACAGCATGATGCCAGCGTCTCTAGGCAAATGAGTTTATATACGTTTTAGTCCTCTTCAGAGGTATCTCAATATGTACTTTTAGAAGCAGGTTGCTTCAGTGTATCAAATGGTAGAGTGTTACAGACACATTACAAAACATATTTCTTGTCAAATAAGACATGATATTAATATTTCCTTATGACAAATTGATTATGACCTTTTAATGGTGTTTTTTTTTTAGAAAATTGTTCCTGAACATCCCTTTATTTCCTGTGGCTTGAATAGGGGACAAAGGCTTTTAACACACATTGTGTAATAAAATCAGTGTGCTCACATAGTATTGTGGCGTAGTTCACAGAATATGCTAAGCCATAAACGGGCAAACTACATTTGGCTAAGTTGATCATTTATACACATGCAGCCTATGTTCATTGTTAGCTACCTAATAATTGTTTGTGAATGTTCATAGTTAATAATTGGCCTCTTTCTTGCTATCTTTCATTTCTCTTTGATATTATTGCTGGGTAAAATTTACCTCAAGCAAGGCTATGTCTGTATTACTATAAATTAATAAATAGTATTAATATTATAAATGCTGTGAATACAAACTTATTGTATTTAATTCTAACACAGGATAAACTTTCCTGTGGTCCATGAAAGTTTACAGATTAATCCAAACATTAGATTATGTGGAAATCTGGATATAAACTTCACAGACCTGGTTTATATAACACATTAAACCTTAATGTAGTTTGTTTTCTGTTCTTGACCTTGAAGTCAGTGAAATAATCAAATTATTGGTACTTAGTCTTCATCTAAAAGTCCATATCTGAGAATGACTGGTTACAATCAGTATTATTTTCCCTTTAAGTTTTATAGCAGGGAGGGAAATTAATTGACAGAACTGAATATTCTTCCATGCTATATGATGTATCTTACTTTTGATTATATTCTTGCATGGATATCATACCGTATATCCCAAGCTTATGATCATCTTGGATACCAGCTTAATTTTCTATTAGGAAGTTCTACATTTTTAGTTGGTTCGTGATTAGATTAGATTTCAGCAAAAGTGATTTTTATTGTGGTGTGAACTACACCATGTTAAAAGTACAGAACCCCTCTCTGGAAAAAAAAACTGATAATCAGAGAGCAGTCCTTGCCCCTCACAGCCTCGTGCAGCTATTTTTCCTGTGAATAATGGAGCTTCTACAGTTACAAATT